GTACACAACTTCCTATTATTTATGGTCATTCCCCACTAAAGGCTTCTGGTCAATGTGAAATAATAATAGCTACTTTTCAATAGGCACAAGTCTTGTCTGTCCAAAAACTTTAAGTAAGCTTATATCCTGAATCTTAATACTTTAATTAAATATGGTCTATGTTTTTTTTTATTTCCCAGAAGAAATAATCATTTTTGAATAACCAACTGAAGACTAGCTAAAAGAAAAAAAAAAGTCTGATAACCAAGGATTTACAGAAGAAGCCATGTCGAGACTGGTAGGAAACACAGAGACATGAAAAGAGCTGGTCCTGCTCCCATGGATGGGTGGTGGCTGAGGTTCCAGAGGGATATCTCAGCTGCAGAGAGTCCCCTCTGAGAAACATTTGGTCTCAATCCCAAGCCAGGCTCCCCAGGCAGAAGCGCCAGACCTGGGAAGGGACATACACATAACATCTGGCTGTGAAAATCAATGAGGATTCCATCTGTCAAGGAGAAACATGAGTCTTGTAGTCGTAGGAACCCTCTTAAAGGTCCCATGAACAAAATCTTGTTTGTAGCCACTCTGGGCTCCAGTGGAGCACTGAATGGACTAGACTTGTGTGAGGATAATCTGGGGTTTTTGACTGGGGAGAGAGATAAAAAGACAACCACCAGGATCATTGTACTGAGTCACTCTTCCACACCATCTTTCTTGGAGGGGAGAACTCCCCTCCATATGGCATCAGCCTGGGGAAAAACAATAGCTACAACCTCTGGACTCCCTCTTGCCCAACCCTGTGGAGCATATGTCCTGCTAAGGAGTCAGTTACATTGGCCAGAGTGTAGAAATCAGAGCAGACACAGGAGGTGTCAGTGACTAAGTTTTGTAGCTTTTGGTAGTGGTCATGCCCTACCTTCCTGTGAACCTGAATGGTGTTTCCTCCTCATGGGAGATATGCTAGTCCTATCCTCTAGGTTCGTGTGGACCCAACTGCCTTGTGGCTGACTCCTGGTTGCTCTGCCCTGATGAGGATTGGGCAAATCCAGGACAGACTGAACTGTGTAGCTCTGGGGTGGCGTCCACAACACTCACCTTTCTCTGAGCCTCACCAGCACCTACTCCTCACAGGAGATCCACTAGCTCCCCTCCTCCCAACCCTTGGAGGCCCCACCTTGTTGAGCTCTGGCTCCTAGCAGCAGAATCTGGGAACAGACTGAGTTGTGTGACTCTAGGATATGAGTGCCTGAGCAGTGCAGAGCTTCCCTTCACAAAGCCCTATCTTGGTCAGTTTGGACCTATTAAACTATGCTGATCTCACTCTAATGACTCCTGAGACCTTGCACCATGACAAAGATGTGGAAAATATGGGGATGGAAAGAGACCTGTCTCATGTCAATGGGTGCACAATGCAGTGTAGAGATGATGAACTGTGTTGTTTTGTGAAACAATTTCACCCTGATAAATTCAATTAAGGTAAAATGAAACAAAATAATATATTTTTTAAAAAGTACTGATACAGCTCAACACCAAAAAAAATACAATTTAAAAAATGTGCAAAGGACCTGAATAGACACTTCTCCAAAGAGGACATTCAGATGGCTAACAGAAATATGTCCAAATGTTCAAAATCACAAATCATCAGAGAAATGAATATTAAAACCACAATGAGATATCACCTCATACCTGTCAGAATGACTATCATCAATAAATCAACAAGCAACAAGTGCTTGCAAGGATTTAAAGAAATAAAAATAAAAATGGAACTGCCTTTTGATCCAATATATTCTACTTCTGAGAATATATCCTAAGAAACTTGAAACACAAATTTGTGTTTTTGAGCACAATGAGCACCCCTGTGTTCATTATAGCATTATTTACAATAGCCATGATTTGGAAGCAACCCAAGTGCCTATCAGTAGATGAGTGGGTTAAAGACTGTGGTACATTTACACAATGGAATACTACTCAGCTGTAATAAGGAAGGAAATCTTACCTTTTGTGACAGCATGGATGAAGAGTATTATGGTAAGTGAAATAATCTCATCAGAGAAAAACAAGTACCATATGATTTTACTCATATGTAGAATCTAATGAACAAAATAAATCTAACAAACAAAATAGACTCAGATAAAGAATAGGCTGACAGCTGTCAGAGGGACAGGGGTTTGAGGAGCTGGGTGAGAAAGATGAAGGGAGTAAGTAAAAATTAAAAGTAAAACCCTTAGAGACACAGACAACAATACCGTGATCACCAGAGCAAGAGGGGAGTAGGGGGAGGTAGAAAAGGGCAAGGTGGGGGATAAATGGCAAGGAAAAGATACTTGACTTGGTGTGGTGAACACACCATATAATATACAGATGGTGTATTATAGAATTGTACTTGAAACCTATATAATTTTATTAACCAATGTCATCCCCCAACATTCAATAAAAATATTTTTTAAAAATATAAAAATTTCCCAAAGGAAAAAAAATTCCAACCAGTCACTCATAACTCAATTATGTGTTGTATACCGCTTTCACTCTGAGGAGTACAAAGGACATCTTTCAGTCCCTCAGAGTCCCAACATGTGTGGTTTCTTATAAAGAGGAGTTTGGATTTTTGCCGAGAGGCAATGAGCCAATGCAAACCATGTAGGTCTAAACATTGCTAAAGTACTACATCTTGACACTTACTTGCTGCTGTGGAGTACCTTTTAACACTGGAGTGATTTATATAAATGTTAAAGGTGGATATCTACATAAACATAAATCCATACCTTTACATATACAACCCCTTTATGAATTATACATGCTATAAAAATATAAAGAAATATCAGTTAAGCCAAAAAATCTCTAGTACAGACCTTAATTTTATAATGTGTTTTAATAACCATTTATTTCAATAACACCATAACAAAAATCAATATTTCATAAATATTTATTTTATTAAATATTAGCACATTTCAAGCAAGGATTATGGCTAAAGAGAGATTTGCTTAAAATAGTCACAAAAGGAAATTGTGCTATCAGAATTTATTTTAAGCAATGATCTAATACATTCAGTTGAGATAAGTGGACTTTTTCTTCCAATCCCTAAAGACAGAGAATAGCACAAGAATAAACTTCCTTAAAAGTATGAATTACTTTTTGATATTACACTAAAACAGAGACATACTTGGGAAAAATGTTGTTAGCTCTGTAGTATCTCGTAAAGTAATACAGCAAAACTGAGTAAGACTTTCTTTGGGCTCTTAAAAAAGACTCATCTGCTGCTAAGATGTTTACTGATGACTGAGATAGAGTCGATACCATGAACAGTTTCTACTAGGACTATGAGTCCTTAAACAAAATTTCTAAAGTAAAAACACCCCCCTAAAAATAAATGGAATAGAAAATAATGGCAAGCTTTTCAAACTTTAGCACATAAGCAAGTCTTTATTTCACTTTACTATAAACAATATCAAGGCTATAAAAGAATAACTTATTTAAAAATAAGATAAATTATGTGCTTCTAAGTGTGTTTGGATTAAACAAGTCAAGAACAACTATTGGCAATATTTTAGCTGCCATGCTTTCTTCTAGAAATACAGATTACATGAAATATATGCATATACATTTGCATTCAAAGACTATTTCTTTATCAAATCTGAGCTTTCATAAGCAGTAGCTCCTTTTCTTTCAGTGGACCTCAGTCAAAACTGTAGAAAAGGTAAAAGTTAAAATGATTAAAAAGAAACAGCCATTGTTTCTAATGTAGACATTAATTAAGCAATATTAATACATATGTGGATAAATAATTTTCCTGTACAGACTAACGCCCTGAGTGCCAATAAGGTTCAAATAACTGACCAATTAATAATGAGTTATTAAAAGCACCTCAGTCCTGGCTGGAGTAGCTCAGTGGATTGAGCACGGGCTGCGAACCAAAGTGTCGCAGGTTCAATTCCCAGTCAGGGCACATGCCTGGGTTGCAGGCCATGACCCCCAGCAACCGCAGATTGATGTTTCTCTCTCTCTCTCTTTCTCCCTCCCTTCCCTCTCTAAAAATTAAATAAAATCTTTTTAAAAAGCACCTCAAAATTACAGAGTTCAGTTGAAGTGGTCATGCGGGTGAATACTAATGAAGCTTCACAGTCCTAAGATACCTACAAACAACTCTTTTTGAATGGGAGGAATTCTCTATTAACCTGAAAACTTGCAAGGACTCCTAGTATTTCTTTTGGAATACTTCTAGAAAAGAAGAAAAAGAAAAAAAACAAAGATGTTTCATAGATGCAGAATCATTCATGTAGTATGTCTTCTCATCAGTCATTCAATCCTTTCTGGTCTTGGTATCTGTCTTTGCTCACATAGACACTGATATTTGCTAAAGTACCAACTAATAATTATAAGGTGTAAGATATGACACCCTTTCCTTGGGGCATCGCAGTGCTACTTGAAAACATAGGATACAGCAGCAATGCCTTTTAAATTTTGAATAAACTGGTTCATATTTCCCTTTAGTGACAAGATTATTCATAATGCATCCATAGTTAAGGCATTATTAATTTTCACTCTCTGAGCATGATTAGGCCATAGGAGAAACCTGCTCAGATGTAAAATGAGAATGTGGAGACAAGTGTGGTGTTAAATTGCTATTAGAGTCACACTATCAATTTTAAGTATGTTTATGTGTTAACTGAAAGTAAAAATAATTTTACAAAAATTACTATGGATATAAATGTTAACACTTGATTAATAACTCATTTGCCAGCTTTCCGATCTAAAAGTTTGCATTTTTACTGTATAACGTAGCACTATTTACTACTTTTCATGCCTTTCATTCATATTTTCAAAGGTCATAGTATTATACTCTTCATTCTTAACAAAGAACATGTATATGTACTTAAATCCATAAAATCTAAAACATATATCAGAGGCAATATGTTCTTTTTGACAGGTATGTGACCTATGGCATTTGACACTGAGTCACTTAAAAAAAGAAAGGAATAGATTAAAATAAATGCATCCAGTCATCTATATATAAATAAACTGACCTTCTTAAAATTCTTGTTTAAGTCAACCAGACTGAGCAGGAAGATGTGGTCCTTGGCTCCCAGGAGCAGCCTGCCCCTCTCCTCGTCCAACAGAATTGTTTGGAAATCCAGTCCTTCCGATGAACCCAAAAAGGGAATACTGCTATTTGAAAGCAGCAAATCTATGGGAAAGTAAAAGAAGAACGCAGCAAAAAAAAAAAATCTTAATAAGCACAATATATATTTACTTCAATACATACATTGTCCCACTTCATAAATATATAAATATAACATGAAGACTCCAATTTTGATATATGCAAACAATACACAGTTTTAAGCACATATTTATTAGAAATAGATGTAATTATTATATTTTATTTTATTGGTACATTTAACTTATGAAAAATGGATGACATTTAAATGAACATAAAACATGTCGACACAAAAGAAATTAAATTCAAAATATTTTACAACCCTCTATTCACCTTGTAAGTTATAAATAAACTACTTAAGTCATAAAATAAGTACAGTAATATTTGTGAATTGATTAAATTGATCAATATGTGCCAAGTAAGCCTCAAACTAAGTGTGTGGTAAAACTCATAGCATTCCTTCCCTCCTACTTTTGATGGTGTTTATATTGATTGCCTGTGTTTGGGAAATTACACTGCACCTACATGATATATTCAGAAAGAAGTAAACAAAGAGGCTGAGTCCAAAAAAAATAGATTCTGAAAGATATATGATCCTAAATGCATAATGGAAGCAGAATTTTAAAGCAGGATGGGACCTTGAAAATCAATTCATACAAATTCATGATTTTATTTCATTCCAGAAAAGTTAACTACATGCCCTAAAGTCACAAAACCATGTGCTGGGCAAAGCTGATAATAAACCTCAATGTCAGTCTTCATTTCTGTTCAACTCTTGTCTATAGGTCCTAATTTTTGTTTTTTTTATAATTGTGATATAGACAGACTCTCATTTAACTTTAGGTCTGGGATTACAGGAACCCAAATCTTTCCAGATTTTTACCCCAAGTACTTTTCATACCCTCTAATTTCCTACAGCTTTAGAGTATTAAATACTAGTAAGGTAATAATATTCATCACTTATTAAAGCCCATTATATGTTACTGGACTTGATAACAAAATCATTTCTAGTAATTCATTATTAATTGATGAGAAAGATAAAAAGATATGTCTCAGAAACAGACATCTAAACATACTTCTAAAATGTACCAATGGCAGTTTCAACCTCTGTAAAAGCAATATTTGAGTCACTTACATTTAAAATCTGTGCATTCTATCTGCAGATGGCGGGCTCCATTATTATTTCATATTTTTGAGAATTCCCTTCAGTCTCTTTTCTAATTTACAATGATTAAATGTTATTTCTCTTAGTCACTAAGATAGATTCTTAGTTTTGACAAAAAAGGCTGTATGCTGAAGATATGATACTATCAAAATTCTTGAATTTAGCTTCACCAAACATAAATACTTTATTAATATTTATGAACCATGCTTTCTGTACATTGGATAAAGTGTGAACTCTATAAGGGGTGTCCAACTTGCAGTCCATGGGCTGCATGCAGCCCAGGATGGCCGAGAATGTGACCCAACATAAAATCATAAATTTACTTAAATGTTCTGAGATTTTTGTGTGATTACAAGTTGCAATGTATTTAACATGTGGCCCTAAACAATACTTCTTCCAGTGTGCCCGAAAGACGCCAAAAGGTTGGATACCCCTGTTACTAAATACTTTCCTACTAAGCTAAATAAAACTTTGGTAGGTTTTCAGGCCAGAGACACAATGGAAAAATATATTTTAGCATCTCCAAATTCAGTAAACCTATTTTTGCAGGGTTATATATATAAAAAATAGTCCATACTTATTATGAAGTAGAGCCAAGGAGAGAAGAATGAAACAGAGAGAACAGATAAGACAGATGTGATCTAAGGTGTTCACAGCAGAAACTGTTACTAACAAACCTTTATTCAATCAGGCAATTATCTTCCTCCCATAGGATTTCCCCTTGTTTAACAAAGAATGAAATGAGCAAAATGGCGAGTATGTAAGGGGATTTCCAAGAGTATATATTGACCCAATTAACAGAGGAAAGTAAGTTATATGTAATAAATCCTTGTTATGTCATGTCCGTGGATAATAATCAACTTATTTTGAACCAGGCACTGCACGTTAATTACAAAATGAGGCATGGTCTGCTTCATGGGTAAGAACAGGAGCTTGAGGTCCAGACCACCTGGATCACATCACAGCCACACAACTCTGGCTGTGTGATAGGACAAGAAAATAAACTTCTCTGTTTCTTAGTTTTCTCATTTATAAAATGGGGATAATAACAAAATCTATATAATAAATTATGTAGGTGCGAGGAATAAATGAGTTAATATATAAACCATTAGAACAGTGTCCGGCACATTGTAAGTGCTATGTAACAGTGAGTCATTATAATGATGATGATGTATGTTTTTAAATCTATGCAAAATCTGCAAAAAGAAATTCATATTATGCTCAAACTCATATAATGCTCATGAGGTAATTTATATAAAGTTCTTAGAACAATGCCTTGAAAACAGGAAAAGTTCAATAAGTATTAACTATTACTTTCAACATTATTATTAAACTCTAGTTTGGACCAAATAAGTTCTATTAATGAAAAATATTATCTCATCATCCATTAAATTTTGCTTATGGAGATCAGAGCATCGCCATTTTTATAATATTGGAATAATAGTAAAAGGCTATTCAGTCCACAAACACGTATCAGAATCTAGTACGTGTTAGGGATTGAGCACATACTGGAGGTTGTGGGATGATGACTGAGTCCCGCCTCAAGGGGCTCACAGATCAATGAGCAAATAAATATGTATATAAAATACAGCACAAGTGACATAAATTCTAACAAGAGTATATATAAAACATCACTAAATATTTTTAATAATTAATAGTGCATCATTTTTAAAAAAGAAAGTGATATTTGAGAACTGTCTTGAAAGACCTATAGAAGCCTTACAGGAAAGATATAAAGAAAATTATACTCCAGGCAGAATGACACTAGAGTGTACAAGAGCATACATATATGACCATATGTTGCAGATATACACTGTATTTTTAATATTTCTCCTACTCTGGAATGTGAATTCCTTTGGGGCAAAGGCCATGTTGCAAAATTAACTTTGAATCCCCAGCACCTAGCTTGGAGTCTGAGACAAATTAAGTACTTCATAAATATTTGTGGAATGGAAGCAGTTTGACATGCTGGCACAGGGAGAATATGTGGAATCAGTGAGATGTAAGGATGGACATAAGGCAGCCTCCAGGTAATCGGAGCCCAAGATGGCAGGCTGGGGAATTGGTTATGATGGAGTAACTGGAAGCCACTGAAGTATTTTACGCAGAAAAATGACAAAGACTATAACTGAGTGTCAGAAAATAATTCTGGCTGTAGTGTTCAGGATGGATGAGAATCAGGAAAGGAGGGGGCAGGGAAACTACCCAGAATTATCTGACAGATGGCAAGTCCTAAATTAGGGCAATGCCAACAGGAGGAGGAGGATGTTTCAGAATGGTGCATCTCACTTTTTGTTTCTACTCATACAGTGAGGAAAAGGAATATAAAGTTGACATAGTCTCTTACTTTATTTTCTTTTAGCATAACAAGTTCTATTGGGTTCAGTTTCAAACAAATTTGACAAAGAAAAACAGCTGCAAAAATAGTGACTAACCTGATGTATTATAATTTCAAAATGATTTAATGTTGCCTGTGACAACGTTAGCATCAAAATGATTAAAGCATGCTTTGCCAATCCTTTGTAGCCAAACTAAATAATTAGACTTAGGCATTACATATGAAAATTTCTCAGGCTGACGCACACATTTTGAAAAGACCTTGGGACAGGCACTGGAACAGGTTCCCTCTTCCCCAAGCAGCTTATCTCTCTTGCATTTCTGCCAAACTAAGCAAAGTGATTTGTGTTTCCACAGGATCATCAACTAAAGTCAAGGCGGGGGAAAAAAGGTTAAATTCAGATCCTGCATCTTAACACCTTAGAGCTCACACACTCCCAGGAATTCAGGAATCAGAAATGAGTACTGGCTCTGGAGGATGCAAATTCATGAAAATTAAACACTAATAATTTGGCAAGATATTTCAGAGCTTAGTTTTTTCTTCTCCTAAATGGCAACTCTCAGGCGATTTTTAATGACTCTCCAAAGTTTGTAATCCTTTTGAACAAGAACTCTGTTATGTTTTTCCCGTTGGGTGAGTGCGTTGCTTCTCACGTGCCTCTCAAAGGAGGCCTGCGCTGCTCTTAAGCAGCCCCACCTCTCCTCAGAGGACAGCAGCTTTTAACTCTGCCCTGAATGCACTCTTTGTTCTGCCTACCTAAACCTTAATCCATGGCAACTCCTACTGCTCTTTTAGCAATTCATGGTCCTATCACCTTGTTCTCCGTTTCTAATCTCATTCAATCACCCAGACCCTCAAATACACACTTGTATTCTAGCAAGATGCTCTTGGAAAATCTACAAACTGATTTTTTCCTGAAATCTGCAAATCATGCACACAATGGATTTTAATTGATGACAGACAACTTGTTTATGACCCATGATCAATAAACCATTACAGAGCAACAGAATGGTTCTGAAGATCCACAACCCTATAAACAACATGATATTTTTGTATGTTTGTATGAATATGTGCATTTTACTCAAGAGTATATCCAGAGTTTCATCAACAACTCCTGATATTCAACAAAAAGTCCCAAGGAAAATTGTGTATTTTCCACATATAGTTAATAACTTTATTTAGAATAATTTCTCATTTCTAGCACAAGAAAGTGAGTCAGTACTTGCATAAAATTTGAGTTTTGAAGGCAAAGGCTGACTCATCTAAGATCACCAGGTACTCTGCATATGCCACAAAGACTGGTAGCAAGTTCCACTCTCATAAATCTTACAGCCTAGTGGAAAGGAAATGCTCATCCACAATAAAAATTAAAATATATTTTTGACAAAGTATATACTTAAGTATATAAAGTAGTAGTATATAAAGTATAAAGTAGTAAACTTTTAAACATATTTAATAGTAAAATGGAAAGAACTTCCTATTTGTATTTGTTCAGGAAGCCAAATAATGCTATGCTACTACTTTCAT